ATATAGTATCCCTCCCACTCACCTCACCCCCTGCCACATCATATCCCTCCCACCCACCTCACCCCAGTCACATCGGATCCCTCCCACCGACCTCACCCCGATCACATCGTATCCCTCTCATCCACCTCACCCTGAGTCCCATCGTATCCCTCCCATCCTCCTCACCCCCAACCACATTGTATTGTGCCACTCCCTCCATTGACCTCTTCTGTGCCTATTGCAACCCTCATCAATGTAAATCAAAGTGATAGGGTGGAGTGCCAAAGCTGCTACTTTCCTAGGGCCCCATTCAGCTTTAATGTATCTCTGCTCCCAGAGCATCCCTAATTCCCATCTCTTACCCCCTTCCTGGTCAAAGCTCATCTCTCCCCGGTCACCTCGCCTCCCTCCAAGATCCAGGACACTTGGCAACTATGTCAGAGTCTTGCGTATATCACATGACAGTTTCGATGAGGGGGAATGAAAACCAGAGGCACCTCCCACCGGAGATCATCTACCTGCTGACTAGGATAGTGAGGAGGATTTTGGGAGGATCACATTACATTAACTTTTCACAATTGACAAAAGTTTGCATATTTGTTTACATTTTAGCTAAAGTAGAAATTGGTTAAGAGCCTTCATAGTGGTGCCGGGAATTCTGGGACATGATCCAGGAACAGACAAGGGATGTGTCTGGGTGGTGACTGTATCATTGTGTGTGTCAGGTTCCTATAAGGTGTCAGGATGTCTCTGTCTATCTCTCCATGGAGGAGTGGGAGTATCTAGAAGGACACCGGGATCTCTACAAGGACGTCGTGATGGAGAATGAGCCGCCCCTCACATCACCGGGTAAGAGGAGAGAGCAGTACGGAGGCTCCGCCTACATCCCCCATCATCTGATACACACATAGAAACAATGTATTCAGTCAGTGTGTGTGTTTCCTACAGATGGATCCAGTAAGAGGAACCCACCAGAGAGATGTCCCCGTCCTCTGTATTCCCGGGATTCCACACAGGAAGATCTCACCGTCCCCCACGAGGATCAGGTAGGTGGGACTGGGCATATGGTCTTAAAACACTATTCTACGCTATGTGTCTTGTCCCTGCTATACGTTCCCCTGTGGCCTGTATACAACTTGACATAAACCCTCCGCAATAAGCCAGACTGTCAGGATACCGTGCACGGGTGTCCCCACACCGCGTACAGGTATCTATACGGGAGGACCAAATGTGTGACCACACCAGACAATTCTTATGAGCTAACAGTTTATTAGCCACACCAAAAACAAGTAACCACAAGCAACCCCACCAACAGCCACAAGTAACAAATAATAGTCAACGAAATGCAAACGATAAAATCACAAACAAGAGGTAACAATAATAATTGTATTTCATCATCTTTGGGGTTTAGGATGAAGAACTGGAATACATCAAAGTTGAGGTCAAAGAGGAAGAAGAAGAGACTTTGGTGGGAGGAGCTCAGCAGTCTATGGAGGAGGGGGAGATGATGGTGAAGAGTAAACAGGAGGAATCTTCTCTACATACCGACACAAGTAAGTCATCTTCATTTTACTTCAATGAGTGTCACGTTTGTGTATAACACAGACATGAGGTGGAGGAAGGTCTATCTCCATTCTTCACTTTATTGTTTCCAAGACACGAGGTGGAGGAAGGTCTATCTCCATTCTACACTTTATTGTTTCCAAGACACGAGGTGGAGGAAGGTCTATCTCCATTCTTCAGTCCATTGCTTCCAAGACATGAGGTGGAGGAAGGTCTATCTCCATTCTTCAGTCTATTGTTTCCACGGCATGAAGTGGAGGAAGGTCTATCTCCATTATTCCATTATTCACTTTATTGTTTCCAAGACATGAGGTGGAGGAAGGTCTATCTCCATTCTTCAGTCCATTGCTTCCAAGACATGAGGTGGAGGAAGGTCTATCTCCATTCTTCACTCTACTGCTTCCAAGACATGATATAGAGGAAGGTCTATCTCCATTCTTCACTCTACTGTTTCCAAGACGTGAGCCCTGCTGTAGAATATGTCCACATTATTAAACGTATGATGATGATTTTCTTTATTGGAATGTAAGATATGAACAAAATTGTATAAACTTTATTTAAAAATTGCTTTTCCAACAGATGAACACCATTTCTGGAATATAAATACGTCGGAGGGACATCTTATTATATCTCCAGATTGCAAAGCAGAAGATGATGACATCACACAACTTTTTCCAGCAGTGAATCCCAATACTCATAATAGACATCACAGACCTTCCCATTCAGAGACATCGATGGATCCCTCTAATCCTGAGGAACCTTCTGACCAATCACAGACTGTTACTCCAGATATCCACCTGACGTCTCACAGTGCAGATTCCTCAACAGATCCATCTGATCCCAAATTAGGCCATGAAGACCTTCAGCCAGGGAGAAGTTCATTTCCATGTCCAGAGTGTGGGAAATCCTTTGCCGAAAACAGATACCTGCTTAGACACCAAAAAGGCCACCGTGGCGAGCGTCCTTTCTCGTGTTCAGAGTGCGGGAAAAGATTTGGTGAAAAACAAACCCTTGTTGTACACCAGAGAATTCACACGGGCGAGCGTCCTTATTCGTGTTCGGAGTGCGGAAAAAGTTTCACTGAGAAAAAAGTACTTCTTGCACACCAGAGAAGTCACACAGGCGAGCGACCTTTCCCTTGTTTAGAGTGCGGGAAGTGTTTTACCCAGAAATCACACCTTCGCATACACCAGAGAAGTCACACAGGCGAGCGTCCTTTTTCCTGTTCCGATTGCGGGAAAAGTTTCGCTCACAAAAGCGCACTTCTTGCGCACCAAAGAACACACACTGGCGAAAATCCTTTTTCGTGTTCAGAGTGTGGAAAATGTTTTTCTCGGAAAGAAAGCCTTTTTGGGCACCAGAAAATTCACACGGGTGAACGTCCTTTTTCGTGTACAGTGTGTGGGAAAAGTTTTGCTCATAAAGGAAAACTTCTTAGACATCAGAGGATTCACACAGGCGAGCATCCTTTCTCATGTTCAGAGTGCAGAAAATATTTCTTTAAAAAAAGAGATCTTGTAATGCACCAGAGAATTCACACCGGCGAGTGTCTTTACTCCTGTTCAGAGTGCGGGAAATGTTTTATTCAGAAAAGCGTGCTTCTTTCACACCAGAAAATTCACACGAGTGATAATCCTTTTTCATGTTCAGACTGTGGGAAATGTTTCACTGAGAAAGAAAAGCTTCTTATACACCAGAGGAGTCACACAGGCGAGCATCCTTATTCATGTTCAGAGTGTGGAAAATGTTTCACTGAGAATGCAAAACTTCGTAGACACCAGAGAACTCACACAGGTGAACGTCCCTTTTCCTGCTCGGAGTGCAGCAAAAGTTTCACTCAGAAACAAGTACTTATTGAACATCAGAGAAGTCACACAGGGGAGCGCCCTTTCCCTTGTACAGTCTGTGGGAAAAGTTTTACACTTAAAGGAAATCTTATTAGACATCAGAATACACACAGCTAATTTTGTATGGTGGCTTTCATCGGGTGGAAGGAGAGCTGTCAGAGAATGTAGTGTGGATGGTGGGGAGAGCTGTCAGAGAATGTAGTGGGAGAGCTGTTGGAGAATGTAGTGTGGATGGTGGAGGAGAGCTGTCAGAGAATGTAGTGTGGATGGTGGGGGGAGCTGTCAGAGAATGTAGTGGGAGAGCGGTGGGAGAATGTAGTGTGGATGGTGGATGAGAGCTGTCAGAGAATGTAGTGTGGATGGTGGGAGGAGAGCTGTCAG